CCCATCCACTAAGACATCGAAAGCGGGGGACCACAATTCTTTGAATTCGCTTGTTTTCAAAACTCAGTTTACAACTGTAGAATATCCAATAATAACATAATACCAGGGACCTATATGTATATAACTACATATACATGTATAGGCATGTATATTAGTCCCTCTGATATTCATATATTAAGCATTGAATGGCATGTTCACTATACATGTATATTGATTTCATGTTTATGTCATAAATAATGTATTGAAATCTTTTCTAGTTTATGAAAATTTTATGTATGATTTTTCTCATAACTTTTTGGAAGGTTTATTATTTATTCCTGGTTATATTGAAGGTTAAGTTGCTTTGAATTAGTCCTGTGCATGTGAAGAATGTATTTGATAATTTTTCTGTAATTGCCACTAGAAAATTGATGTATTTTATAAAATTGTCAAACATAACATTCATAAGAATATCAAAAGCCTGAAAGGCTTCAATGACGTCGAAGAAGAAAAACAATTTCAAAAGATCATTTTGAATTTGAAGATAGCAATAAGTCAAGTGAGTGACTCAGGAGAAATAATAAAAAAAAATAGTTTTAAACAAAATATCACAATTACAGTCTGGGGCCTTATGTCATGGTCCGAATGGAGCAGGGTTCGAATTGACCAGACACCGTCGAACATGTTTCATGCTAAATTCTTTTCAGTCAGTTGAAGAACTATGAAGGATTTCATAATTTTATATAATATTTTTTCTTATTGCCAATGTCAAAGCGTTGTATTAGTGATTGCATCTAAACTACAACCAAGACTGTTCTGTTACAATTACGATCGAGTTACGATCAGGCGTGGTATACGGTATACTGGGAAATGGAGGAAATAGAGAAATACAGTAATACTGGTCAACATCATCGGTTTTTAGGATAAAGTTGGTCAGAAGATTGTAAACGTAAAGCTAAGATTTACAAATTCAATCTTTTCAGTCTTATAGTATTCGTGTTTATGTAATTTTGTAAATTATTTAACCGCCTGTTGGGTTGTTTGTGTTCCACGGTTATCGTTCCAAAATGTTATTCATGTCATTCGACGCACCTTTCTGTAGAAATTCATCCGCAACAACCATCACGTTTATATTGTGTGAAAATAAAACATAATATCGTTATTTTGTAAAAGAATTAATTGTAGATACAATTGATGCAATTTCATTTTCAAGCTATAATTATTCATTGTGAGCGTTTTAAAAGAAATTGGTTTATAGCTATTGCTATTTTCTATTGCGGATGCATCCACTGACACATTCGGTCGCGTACATCCCTTGGCGATTTCACTTGGCCGATCCCTAGATGACGTTCGAGCTCCAAGAGCTCGACGTCATAAAAATGACAGAGGAAATTCGAAATGAATATTTTGAATATCATTAGTGTAAAATACCATAAAAATAGAATGTATAACTGGTAGAAATGAATGTATTTATGTCACAATTACACCAAATTGATATATTTTTGGGGATTAAAAATCTTTCTTATAGACATTAAAACACTATGTAAATTGAAGATTTCAGAAAGTATAGAGCAAATTTGGGCTTATTTTTTCTCGATAATTTGCCTGATTACTATATGTTTTTTAACTTGTAAATTAATCTTGAACCTTTGAATATTCATCAGACAAAAATCTAAATATTTGACATTATATGGTCAATTGTAAAAATTGAGATGAAATTTCATGTGAATTCATGAAAACTGAGAATTTTGAAAAAATATCGAGGAAATTCGGATTAAATGTATTTATTGAATATAAAGGATTTCATGTTATCTTTTCACCAGCTCATTTCATATGAATTAGTCATCAAAAATAAGTAACAACTTTAATTTTATGGTGAAAGATATTTTTTCAGTCAGCAAAATTTATTCATATGCATAAATTTCAAAACTTCTCTGTGTAAAAGTACTATTTTTAGGACTGACTTTCAAATGACCTTGACTGAAAATCAAGGCCGATAACACCAAAGTTTTTGGATGTTAAAATAGTGTAAACAGTCTGAATGTTGAGTATTCAGAAAATCAAGATTCTGCCATTATAAGAAATATGAGAAGAATCCATCCTTAAAATAATATAACTATCAATACATTATAAGTAAATTATTTCCTTCAATTATACAATCCGACAATGCAGATAATTTCCTAAGGTTTAAATATAACGGTAAGCAACAACAAAGCGATCTATATATAGGCTATGTCTCTGGTTAACCGTAATTCTGCAGTTTCCCCTGGAAGAAAAAAACAGGTCAAAATCCTATAGTGGTGTAAAATACACACCCCTTTCTCACAAATAAATATTCTGGAAAAAAAGTGCGTATTATATTCAGCCAAATACGGTATGAATTTCTGAGCTTTTGACCTCAAAATCAATAGGGCTGTTCCTTAGACCATAAGGAGATGTGATGTAAAATTTCATTGCAAAAGCTCTTTTTAAAATATCATCTGAAAAACAAAAGTATTACAGACAGAATGTATGAATTTATGTTCTTGACTTTTGGACCTCAATAACAATAGGGATTTTCTTTCGGCCATAAAGAGTTGTGATATAAAATTTCATTGCAAAAGCTCAAAGGCTTTTTGAGATATTGTCCAGAAACAAAGTCCTACACACAGACAGAATAACAGATAGACAAACCTACGGAGGGACAGACCCAAACTAGAACTGTCCAAAAAGGACAAATACCCCCTGCTGGGTTTTTCAGAGGTGCCAAACACTAATATTTTATGGAACTAAGAGGTGTTCACAATTTTCTTATCAACATTTAGAGTGAAAAAATAATTGCTCATTATATTTTTTTTTATGAATGAAACCAAGGAACAACCTAATAAAACATCAATACCAATACATTGTTTTTTTAATACATTGAAAAAATAAATTGCAACTATCTGTCATCTTTTTGAGACATGACATTCTGCAAATTGATTGTTGAAAAAAAAATCAATTAATTACAAAATCAAATTAATCTTGATAACTTTATATCAAATTCATTTTAAAAATGAAAGGCTGGTCATCCAGTAACTATGTACTATGACAGACAATAAATTACAATTAAGAGAATTAAAGAACAGAGATCTTTAAATTCCCAGGAGATATAGATAACACATGCTTGATCAGAGATGCCCTAACAACTTCCCACACTGACCTCACTAATTTATCTCTAACTGGATGATGTCCACTCATTACTCCCAAGGGACAAATGGATTTACACTATCTGCTGTGTAATGTAAAAATTGTTTTTAATACTTGGTGATTTTGTTTTTGTTTTAATGAATAGTTTTAAGCTGTAGTTCACATTTTTGTACAGATGTTCTAGATTCTATGTCTCAAACCTTAGAAATAAACCCAAAATGACTAAGTCAATAAAAATAAAAAAATAATAATAAATCTGTAAAATGCAGAAAAATTATCAAATAATGTTAAAAATACCAGGTGTACATCTTCATATGGTAAATAATGAGGCCACAATTAAAATATTGTTGGTTTGGCGTTGCCGACTAGGTCTTTAAACGGTTGGGTCGGTAGGTAGGGAAAATATTTTTTTTTCGCTGATACAAAAACTAATGCCGTTAAATTAAATGTTTTATATCATTGTATTTTGTAATTTAAGTTAACAAACAACTCCTATATGTCAAAACAGAGAGGAAATTTCACACAATATCATACAGACAACTAATACAGTTTCATACATTGACAAGAATAAAGCAAGATGAACTGAGATTTGATTCCTGTTTTCTGAGCAGGAAATGGCATTACATTTAATCTAACATAACTGATATTCACAAAAACTTTAAGTTACCATTTTTATAAAATTATTTCAGAACATAACTCAGTAAATTTGCCATATTTTTGACGCAAAAACAAAATAAAATATACAAAACAAATCAAACAATATTCTAGAAAATATACAGAAGAAAATTCCATAGAAATGTAAGATTCAATAAAAAAGATTCTATCTGTATATCAAATTTGACTAGATTTTATGACAGTAGAGCAGATAAAACTCTTTCAATTTCAAAAATGGCACAAGTACCAGTATCCAAGAGTCATGGGTTTTCCCGCCGTCCGAATTTATTCCCATTTTTGTCAGTGATTTAAAAGCCCTATTAGTTTTTACCCTTATACATGATATTAAAAAATCTCCGACATTAAATTAGCACACAGACCTTATGATCACTTGCACGAATCCAAGCATGGCCGCTAGTTTCATCTAGCAAATCGGTCAGGACATTGTACCATGAAATTTCTATTTCGAACTGGTATATTTGTCTGTCAGTATACCTTTGCCTTTTAGAAACACATTACCATAGAGTTATGCCATCAAATTCTGTTATACTGAGTCGACAGCCATTGCTTGGATTCATGATGCGCATTTTATTCAACATCACATAGATGCTTGTAAATGAAAACTGTTCAATTAGTCAAGCGTTTACATGATTCTTTCCCATCCTGTATATTACTCAAACCTACATATCCTAAATCCAGATGAATATAACAAGAAAAAAAAATATGAATCCTATCGGTTGAAAAAAATTTCTTCGGACCGCACTGATTTATGTGAGTCGGCCGGCAACGCCAAACAAAGCTAATTTTATTTTTGGCCTGAGTGTACAAATTTTCATATAATTCTATGAAATAGTCTTTGAGCAAAGGTCAGGACAAAACCACATAATAAAAAAGCAAAAAACACCTGTAAAATGCAGAAAAATTATTCAATCAAGATGAAAATTCCAGGTGCACACCTTCATATGGTGAATAATAAGTATACAAATTTTCAGACAAATCTACGCAATAGTTTCCAAGAAATCTTGTCTACAGACAGACGGACAGACAAACGGACATGGTGATTCCAATATACCCCCCCTAAACTTCGTTTGCAGGGGTATAATTAAAGTGAAAATGGGGGACAAAATTTGAATAAATGCATGATAGAGGATACATGACCTTGCAACAGTTTGACTGGTTTACATTCTAAGTGTTCCTACCTTGGTACATACAGAATGGGTGGACTTTTGGGTCTGCACCCTGGATGAACCATTAACAATAGCTGAGGGAAACCTGTTCCAAAGTAAGCACCATCTATGTGATGATGGCTGCGGGATTTAGGGGTATACACATCCTGACATCTGGGACAGTACACCTTAACCACCGCCTCTCCAGGGACATCAGACAATCCTGTCATCAATGAGAAGCAACAATAATACCCTTTGACTTGATTACCGATCACTTTAAACAGTTTTCTAGCAGAAAGTTTAAAGCAAACTTCTATATCTTTTATCTTAATTTACCGATTGGAATCATGCCTTGTCTCTCACAATACTGTCGTGGACAGGTACCGAATACTCCCTTCTTCCATTTGTATATCTAAAGAGTCAGATTCAATCAATCATGCAGTGGTCAGCTGATGTCATATAATCCTTTACTATTTTTTACTGCTATCATTGGTCAATTGAAGAATTCATTGTTTAATACGCACCATTTGATGTATTCCTCTTTTTGTCAAGATGAACCTAGCATGAATTAAACCATATAACCTCTCAGCTGCTTCTTCAATCAGAACATTTTGGCAGGAATTCTCAGAATCAGATTCTGTCGCCAATAGAAAGTCACTGTATATAAATATAGTTAAACAAGAAACCCATGGAAGTTTCTCAAGCAGTAACTACATTAGCCCAACCTAGACCTGTAACTATGGTCTCAGGTGATGAGAGGCCCATAGGCCACAAAGCATACCTGAATCACCTTAATCCTGCTGTTCTTCAGAGAATTTTAACAAGAGGCCCATGGACCACAACGCTCACCTGAGTAATTTGGCCCTGCTGTTCTTCACCTGATTTCCTATGTTGTTATACCTTTTGTGCCCCCCCCCCCCCCCCCCCCCGTGGTCATGATATGAACAGTTTAGAATCTACACTTCCCCAGGATGCTTCAACATAAATTTCAGCTTTTCTGGCCCAGTGGTTCTTGAGAAGAAGAATTTTCCTATATATTTCAACGTAAAACTTGGATTCCCTATTGTGGCCCCGACCTACCACCAGGGGTCATGATTTGAACAATTTAGAATCTACACTACCCAAGGATGCTTCCACATAAGTTTCAGCTTTTCTGGCCCAGTGGTTCTTGAGAAGAAGATTTTTAATGATATTTTCTACATATTTCAGTGTAAAACTTGGATTCCCTATTGTGGCCCTGCCCTACCCCGGGGGGTCATGATTTGAACAATTTAGAATCTACACTACCCCAGGATGCTTCCACATAAGTTTCAGCTTTTCTGGCCAAGTGGTTCTTGAGAAGAAGAATTTTTAATGACCCCACCCAATTTTTGTCTTTCTTGATCATCTCCCCTTTGAAGGGGGATTGGCCCTTCATTTTAACAATTTAAACTCTCCTTCACCCAAGGATGTTTTGTACCAAGTTTGGTTAAAATTGGCCCAGTGATTCTTGAGAAGAAGTTGAAAATGTGAAAAGTTTACAGACTGACGGACAGACGGACGGACGACGGACAACGGGTGATCAGAAAAGCTCACGTAAGATAAAAAAGGTTTTTTCCCTCTTTATTCCCATAAAAATATATGAAGAATTTTTCTCCCTATATTCTCATGAAAAATTCTGAATCTGTATTGTGGACTCACCCTAGCTCAAAGGGATAATTTAACTGAACTTGAATCCACACAACATGGAAATGCTTCAATACGAGTTATATGACCAATGTGGCCTTGCTGTTTTAAAGACAAACAAGATGTGTTTGTGAAACACTGATGCCCCCGTATGGCAACTAATAGCAATGGTTAAACTTTCTCAAATGCAAATCAAATATGTTGGTACCCAAATAAGGTCTTGTCTCAAGGAATAAACCTGTAAAATATGAAAGCTCTAGCAGCAACCATTGAAAAGATATGGAAAAGGTTTAAGTTTTTCAAAAGTATGTCAAACATCAAGGTCAAGATCAAATGGTAACAAGAGGCCCATGGGCCACATCGCTCACCTGAGCACATTGGCTAGGCAAAAGCACAAATCAGTTCAGTATTGAAAAGATTACCTGGGGTTTGGGGGGGAGGGGGGGCTTGAATTTTAAACTACCTGATGATGCTTCCATGTCAATATAACAAATGGCTTTATTGTACTTGTAAAGATTTTTAAAAAATTTTCCCATATATTCCTTTGTAAAAATTTGATCCTCCATTGTGGCTCCTCCCTCTCTCCGGGGTCATCATTTGAACTTGAATCTACACTACCTGAGGATGCTTCCATATCAATATGACTAAACATAGCTTTCCTGTACTTGAGAATAAATATTTTCTCTATATGTTCTTATGTAAAACTTTCGATCCCCCAATGGACCCCATCCAACCCCTGGGGGTCATCATTTGAACAAAATTGAATCTACACTACCTGAGGATGCTTCCATATCAAAATGACTAATCATGGTTTGCAGTTCTTCAGAAGAAGATATTTCCCTATATATTTCTACTTAAGACTTTGATCCTCCATTGTGGCCCCATCCTACCCACGGGGGTCATGATTTGAACAAAATAGAATCTACACTACCTGAGGATGCTTCCATATAAATATGATCAATAAGGGCTTTGCTGTTTCTGAGAAGAAGATTTTTAAAATTTTTCCTATACATTTCTATGTAAAACCTTGATCCTCCATTGTGGCCCCGCCCTACCCCCGGGGGTCATGATTTGAATAAATTTGAATCTACACTACCTGTGGATGTTTCCATATAAATATGAACAATCTGGGCTTTGCTGTTCCTGGGAAGAAGATTTCTCCTATATATTTCTATGTACAACTTTGATAGTCCATTGCAGCCCTGCCCTACCCCCGGTGGTCATGATTTGAACAAACTTGAATCTACACTACCTGAGAACGCTTCCATGTAAATATGACTCATCATGGCTTTGCTTTTCTTGAGAAGAAGATTTTTAAAGATTTTTCCTATATATTATTTCTATATAAAACTTTGATCCTCCATTGTGGCCCCGCCCTACCCCTGGGGGTCATGATTTGAACAAACTTGAATCTACACTACCCGAAGATGCTTCCATATAAATATTACTCATCATGACTTTGCTGTTCTTGAGAAGAAGATTTTTCCTAAATATTTCTATGTAAAACTTTGATCCTCCATTGTGGCCCCGCCCTACCCCCGGGGGTCATGGTTTGAACAAACTTGAATCTACAATACCTGAGGATGCTCCCATATAAATATGACTCATCATGACTTTGCTGTTCTTGAGAAGAAGATTTTTAAAGATTTTTCCTATATATTTCTATGTAAAACTTTGATCCTCCATTGTGGCCCCGCCCTACCCCCGGGGGTCATGGTTTGAACAAACTTGAATCTACACTACCTGAGGATGCTTCCATATAAATATGACTCATCATGGCTTTGCTGTTCTTGAGAAGAAGATTTTTAAAGATTTTTCCTATATATTTCTATGTAAAACTTTGATCCTCCATTGTGGCCCCGCCCTACCCCCGGGGGTCATGATTTGAACAAACTTGAATGTACACTACTTGAGGATGCTTCCACATGAGTTTCATCTTTCCTGGCCCTATGGTTCTTGAGAAGAAGATTTTTAAATGTTGCCATTATTTTTTCACTAATTTCTAATTATCTCCCCTTGAAAGAGGGCGTGGCCCTTCATTTGAACAAACTTGAATCCCCTTTACCCAAGGATACTTTGTGGCAAGTTTGGTTGAAATTGGCCCAGTGGTTCTTGAGAAGAAGTCGAAAATGTGAAAAGTTTACAGACAGACAGACAGACAGATGGACAGACAGACAGACGGACAGACAGACGGACGCCGGACAAAATGTGATCAGAAAAGCTCACTTGAGCTTTCAGCTCAGGTGAGCTAAAAATTAATGGTGCCAAAGGAAAGGTCTTCTCCCAAGAAATACACAGGTGAAATATATAATCCAAAACACTAATCGTTCAAAAGTTATGACCAAGGTTAAAGTTTTCCAAAAGTAGGTCAAACTCCAAGGTCAAGGTCAAAGGGTCAAAGTTGTTGATATGCAAAGAAAGTTCTTCTCACAAGAATTAAATATGTGAAGTATATATGAAAGCCTTAGCACCAACTTTTCAAAAGTTATGGCCAAGGTTAAATATTTCCAAAAGTAGGTCAAACTCCAAGGTCAAGGTCATAGGTCAAAGTTGTTGGTATCCAAAGGAAGGTCTTGTCACAAAGATTACACATGTGAAGTATGAAAGCCCTAGCACCAACCATTCAAAAGTTATGGCCAAGGTTAAAGTTTGGTAAAATTTTGCAAAACTGTGTCAAACTCCAAGGTCAAGGTCAAAAGGTCAAATATGCTGGTACCCAAAGAAAGGTCTTGTCACAAGGAATACACATGTGAAATATGAAATCCATAGCTCCAACCAATCAAAAGGTATGGACAAGGTTAAAGTTTTTGCAGACAAACAGATAAACAGGACGGACAGGGCAAAAACTATATACCCCCGAATCTTCGATACGGGGGCATTAAAAAAACATCCTTCCTGTATATATAAATTATGTAACCTTTGATGCCCAATAATTAATAGCCCAAAACCAAGGTCCACAATTTGAAAAAAAAAACCAGAAGTCTCTGTCAAGACTGTAGCTCTACTGGTTTAACAAAGGACATGGCCTTCAAACTTTGCAAAAGCAATGAATAATGATCCATGATTAAGTCTCTTTTTGTGGTAAGATTGCAATCAGGCTAAAACTGTAGGAGGAGTCACCTTTTAAAAGAATTTTACAGAAATTTTGATTTCATAGTCTATGTCCACACCTAAAATGCACTAATCTGATAAGCATCTAGATATGTAAGTTAATTCATTTACTTATTTGTGTCACATTTGATTAAAAAAAATAGCCTAAGGGTTTCCTGTCGTTTTTTTTTTTTTAATTTTCATTTAAAACCTTTGCAGTTTGATACTGTACCTTTTTGTAAGTTTAATATTTCCTCTACTGAAATGCATGGCAACATCATTTAACAAAATCAAACAAGAGGCCCATGGGCCACAACGCTCACCTGAGTCAATATCGCCCTGCTGTTCTTTGTCAGCAGATTTCTTCTCCTATCTACATGTATTCATATGTAAAGCTTTGATCCCCTGTTCTAGGTATACCCTACCCCAAGGTGCCATGCTTTGGATAAAATTGAACTTTAACTTTTTGAGGATGCATCTATATTCATATAACTAATTTTAAGGATGTCTGCCACCCTAGCAATGGGGGTAGGGGGGAGATGTCATGATTTCAACAAACTTGAATCTACACTACCTGAAGATGCTTCCATATCAATATGAATAATCATGGCTTTGTTGTTCTTGGGAAAAAGATTTTTAAAGATGTTTCCTATAAATGTTCTTTTGTATAACTTCATCCCCCATTATAGCCCCACCCTACTACTGGAGGATGCCTTGAACAAACTTGAATCTACAATACCTGGGAATGCTTCCATATCAATATAACTAATCATGACTTTCCTATTCTTTAAAAGGTTTTCAGAGACTTTTCCTATATATTCCTATATAAAACTTTGATCCCCCATTGTGGCCCCACCCTACCCCCGGGGGTCATAATTTGAACAAACTTTAATCTACACTACCTGAGTTGATGATTCCATATCAATATGACTAATCATGGCTTTGTTGTTCTTGAGAAGAAAAATTTTAAAGATTTCTTTTATATATTCCTATGTAAAACTTTGATCCCCCATTGTGGCCCCACCCTATCCCCTGGGGTCATGATTTGGATCAAACTTGAATCTACACTATGTAATGAAGGTTTCACATAAGTTTCAACTTTTCTGGCCCAGTGGTTCTTGAGAAGATTTTTAAAAGATGACACCAAATTTTCACCAATTCTTAATTATCAGCTCTTGGAAGAAGGCATGGCCCTTCATTGAACAAACTTGAACCCCCTTCACCCAAGGATACATTGTGGCAAGTTTGGTTGAAATTGGCCCAGTGGTTCTGGAGAAGTCGAAAATGTGAAAAGTTTACAGACAGACAGACGGACGGACAGACAGACAGACAGATGGACTACAGACAAAATGTGATCAGAAAAGCTCACTTGAGCTCTCAGCTCAGGTGAGCTAAAAAAAATGAAGACAATCATGTATAACAGTATAGTCTACTTGTATGCCAAGTTATGTTGAAATCAGACCAAAACTGTAGGAGAAGTAGCATTTAGAAAGTATTTTAAGAAAATTTCTATTCACCATTCATCAAAATCAAAAACTGACTGAAAGAATTATGAAGCTTAGTGTAGTCTACTTGTGTGCCAAGTTAAACTGAAATCGGACCAAAACTGTAGGAGGAGTAGCATTTTGAAATTGTTTACAGACGGATGGACAGACAGACGGACGGATGACGGACACCTTACTATTACATAAGCTCTTCTGGTCTCTGACCAGTAGAGCTAAAAACAAACAAACCCAAGGATTTTATTGGTCAGCTGAGTATAACACAACACTGTATAGCCACCCCCTTCCCCCTCCACTTTTTCTGAGAACCGGTATAGTATTTTTCTATAGATATAAATTTTCCTTTAGATGCTGGTTGCTCCCCCCTCCCACTTTCTGTTGCTGAAAGGCCAAACACCAGCAAATTCCAGGATTTGGACAGTTAAGCAAGTTTCTTTATTTGCTTGTCAGATTATTTTGGGAAGCCCCCCACCCCCTACTTTTTGGTCAGTAGAGGTTGTTTTTGCTTGTCAGATATTTTGGGAAGTCTTCCCCCCCCTCCCCCCCTTCCCCTTTTGAAACAGTTGCCTGGAGAAATATAATGATTAGGGATCAAAAAAATAATAGTCTAGTACTCTTTAACTAATATTAAACTAAATCTATTTACCTGCCTGTACCGCAATAATATCGATATTCCAGTATATCGCGTGCGATTCGTTAACAAAAAATATTGTATTGAGATACGTTTTTCCAGTACCGCTATACATGTATTAGTAAATTGCTTCAGCTTGGGATTCCTAAAGTAAAATATGAAATTTAAGATGCCAGAAAAGCTTTATACCATGCCAAGCAAAAAGGTTGCTGTTGTATGGTTGTATTTCGTTGCAGAACTGAAGTGAAATCGACAAGAACTTTTTTTGGCTGCAACGAATCTATAATACACATGTAGTTTTATTCACTCTGATTATAAATGGAGGTTAATAAATTAAGAAAAGAGCATGTTTACTGTATTGTAATACATATCGCAATACAGTTTAAAATATCCCAATATATTGCGATATAAAATTCCCAGCCGATATCCAGCCCTTCTCAGAAGCTATAGCATCTTTAATAATTCTCTTGAGAAGAAATCAAAAGTGTGAAAGTTCACAGACAGACGGACGCTGGACAAAATGTGATCAGGAAAGCTCATAAAGACTCAGGTGATCGAGCTAAAAGTAAAACTTGGTGTATAACCAGGAAGCATAATTTCGATGTAAATCTCGAAATATGTATTTGAAATTAAAACCCAGGACAAGTACAGAATTTCTGTAACAGTAAACAGCTCTGCAGTAGAGTTTTCGTTTATTATTAAAATGTGTAACAGATGTTAAAGATCATCATGACATTTATTCAGGAACATTTTACAAAAACGTTCATTTTGAGCTAGCTTCCTTCACTATGACCACTTACCTGGTCCTTCGTCCAGAATCACGTCTAAAGCCTGTGGGTAGTGGGGGACTCATTTTCTAAGTTCTGTCATTTAGTTCCGTCCTACTCACCAGGTCCTTCCTCCAGAATCACATCTAAAGCCTGTCGGTAGTGAGGAACCTGTTGTCCAAGTTCTGTCATGTTATTTCCATCCTACTCACCTGGTCCTTCATCCAGAATCACGTGTAAAGCCTGTGGGTAAAGGGGGACTCGTTTTCGAAGTCCTGTCATGTTAGTTCCGTCCTACTCACCTGGTCCTTCGTCCAGAATCACGTGTAAAGCCTGTGGGTAAAGGGGGACTCGTTTTCGAAGTCCTGTCATGTTAGTTCCTTCCTACTTCCCTGGTCCTTCATCCAGAATCACGTGTAAAGCCTGTGGGTAAAGGGGGACTCGTTTTTGAAGTCCTGTCATGTTAGTTCCTTCCTACTTACCTGGTCCTTCATCCAGAATCACGTGTAAAGCCTGTGGGTAAAGGGGGACTCGTTTTCGAAGTCCTGTCATGTTAGTTCCTTCCTACTTACCTGGTCCTTCATCCAGAATCATGTCTAAAGCCTCGTGGTAGTGAGGAACATGTTTTTTAAGTCCTTTCAGGTTACATAGGTTCTCTATGTAGGCTTTATCTACCTGTACCAAAACAAAAACATTTCTGTTTAACATGGAAAAATGTCAATGTTTTATAAATATCTCATATCTGATATGCAATATACGTTTCTAGTTTAGAGCATTCAGGAATTGAGAATTTTTTGGTTTGATCCTCACATTTAATGTCTATTTTTTTTTTTTTTATACAAACAATGAAGTGTTTGTCAGTTTTTATTTACGGATCTATTAAAATAGATAAATTTTGGTTCAGTTGCACTGTGAGTGAAAGCAATTCTTCCAGCATACTGAAACTTCAATATTTGCATTTAGCTATATCCTTTTATCATGTTTATCTTATTGATGTTTAATATTTATGTGAAGTGTTACTATGTTATTGTTACTATTAAGAAAGAAAGAAAGAAAGAAAGAAAGATAGATAGATAGATAGATAGATAGATAGATAGATAGATAGATAGATAGATAGATAGATAGATAGATATTTATTGGTATACTACATAAGTTGGTACAATACATTTTTGACAAGATAAAATTAAGAAATATATAAAAAGTTTGACACTAAACATTAGAATTAGAATTAAAATATATCGGAATCAGTCGTTTTTTTGAAAAACATAAATATAACACATATTACATTCGTATTCCATGGATAACCCATGAAAGCCAAGGGCTAATTTCCAATGGGGCCCTTATAGTTATACAAGTATGCTAGATGTTAAATAAAAAATACTATACATTAAGATGGGATCAAGTTGATAACACAGAGATCATTAAAAATGAATTTTAATATGTATATATACCAAGTCTTCACATGAATATAATTGTAATCAACTAACAATAAAAATTAAGACTAATAAAATATGACTCGACTTTTATGCTAGGCAATTCCCCTATCTAACAAAAATTTCTTGACATTTCTTTTAAAAGCAACATTATTTCCAGTATTTAATTAAAACAGTTTTAATTTCTGCTGGTAACATGTTCCAATCTTTGACTCCATTAAAATACAATGATTCAGATTGTTCATGCTTAAGATCAGCGGACTTAAATATTACAATTTGACAAGGTATTTCAATGTAAATGTAACGTTTTCCTATGTGTGTAACTTTGTAAAGTGTGTCCAGCTGTGGTCAGCAGACTAAATCATGGACAATTAAACCATAAATGTTTCATAAACATGATTTCTACAGATCACCAAATATGCCCATCTTCTTAAACAGGGACTCAACCTTTTCAAAAACCTTGAGTACTGGGCCTCAATTTCACAGTCCTTGTGAGAAGCCTGACATTTACGAGATTGTAGATTACATGACATTAATATTAACTTATATATCAAAGAAAATTTTGTCAAACCATGAACATCCTCAATTATCTCTGTTTTTTTTCTTGGCCCCACTGAGTTTGAGATCATGAAGTTAGACTTCACCTTGGCAAAGAATTCATGTCCTCTCTGTTCACAGAACCATCCAATCCAAGTATCGTCTGGAATTCTTTCTCTGGAAATCAAACATCATTTCATCATTGTCTTTTCAAGAGCTTACAATAATGCAAGTGGGAGCAGATCCTATCCATTGAATTTAAATGTAACTAAAAATGCATTCCTTGCAGCATTTTAACTACTTCCCTTGTGGAAACTCTTTTGAAACTTTTATGGGAATAAATATTAGATTTTTATGTTGTGTGACAGGGGGGCAAGGGTAGTTGCAGCTATGGCAGATTAACTCCAAGAAGCAAATATTTAACTGGAGTGTTCCAAGCAAGGCTTTTGTCACCTGTGCATCATTAAAGATATCAACAAGAGGCCCGTGGGCCACAGCGCTCACCTGAGTAACTTTGGCCTTGCTGTTTTTCACCTGATTTCTCTCAACCCCCCCCCCCCCCAGTACTTATTGTGGCCCCGCCCTACCCTAGGGGTCATGATTTGATTAATTAGAATCTACACTATCCCAGGATGCTTCCACGTAAGTTTCAGCCTTCCTGGCCCAGTGGTTCTTGAGAAGAAGATTTTTAAAGATTTTTACTACATATTTCAATGTAAAACTTGGATTCCCTATTGTGGCCCTGCCCTACCCCCGGGGGTCATGATTTGAACAATTTAGAATCTACACTACCCCAGGATGCTTCCACGTAAGTTTCAGCTTTTCTGGCCCAGTGGTTCTTGAGAAGAAGATTTTTAAAGATTTTTACTACATATTTCAATGTAAAACTTGGATTCCCTATTGTGGCCCCGCCCTACCCCCAGGGTCATGATTTGAACAATTTAGAATCTACACTACCCCAGGATGCTTCCACATAAGTTTCAGCTTTTCTGGCCCAGTGGTTCTTGAGAAGAAGATTTTTAAAGATTTTTACTACATATTTCAATGTAAAACTTGGATTCCCTATTGTGGCCCCGCCCTACCCCCGGGGGTCATGATTTGAACAATTTAGAATCTACACTACCCAAGGATGCTTCCACATAAGTTTCAGCTTTTCTGGCCCAGTGGTTCTTGAGAAGAAGATTTTTAAAGATTTTACTACATATTTCAATGTAAAACTTGGATTCCCTATTGTGGCCCTGCCCTACCCCCGGGGGTCATGATTTGAACAATTTAGAATCTACACTACCCCAGGATGCTTCCACATAAGTTTCAGCTTTTCTGGCCCAGTGGTTCTTGAGAAGAAGATTTTTTAATGACCCCTCCCAATTTTTGTATTATCTTGATTATCTCCCCTATGATGGGGACTTTGCCCTTCATTTTTATAATTTAAACTCTCCTACACCCAAGGATGCTTTGTACCAAGTTTGGTTAAAATTGGCCCAGTGGTTCTTGAGAAGAAGTCAAAAATGTGAAAAGTTTACAGACGGACAGACAGACGGATGGACAGACGGATGACGGACAATGGGTGATCAGAAAAGCTCACTTGAGCTTTCAGCTCAGGTGAGCTAATAAAGCTAAAGATGATCCGCTTTTTTTTTTTTTTTTTTTTTTTAACAAATTTAGCACTACAGTAAAATTCGGTTATAACAAAGTCCTAAGGACCTGTGACATTGTTACATTGTTATATAATTTGCTGTATCCATATATCAAAGTCTTTAAAATATATGTTTTCCTCAAGTATGACTATGGAACATGTTCAGGGAAGTAACTAATACAAAATTATCTTGGACAATTCAAAAAGTTTTTTTGTACCGTACATACTCCCGTATAAGTCGGTCCGCCTATAAGTCGGTTGTATTTTTTGAGGTTATTTTGGAGGGATTTGCCATTGACCTACTTATAAGCCAGTACAATTTTTTGCCAGAATCAGTTGACAATTTCAAATCAATACTCTAATGTTTTAACCTGGTTTTTATTAATATTTTTAGAAATGACGCCAATAATGAATTTTAAATCATTAAGAAATATATACATAATGCACACTTAAGATAAAAATAAAGTTATTTAAATAAGTAAATACCTGTACTTTATGTATAAACTTAGAATACATAAATGATATAATATATCCAGACTTTGTTCAACGATAATCATGGGAAATGTTTATAAAATACTACATTTCGCCATCCAGAAAAATACTAATCTTTTTATGACTCGCCTATAAGTCGGACAAATAGTTTTGGACCAAAATTTAACTCCCAAAAAACTGACTTATAGGCGATTATATACAGTATATGTTCGTATGTTTGTACTAAATGAGTTTTACTGTATAGTTCATGTTTTTACCTGCAAAAAAGAGAAGGTGGCCTATGGGTTAAAAGGCCATCATTAACAATTTTTTTGTTAGACTCCGACCCACAATTATCAAGCTGGTAGGTAGGTAGGTAGTTTTTTTTTATTTCAATTATTTATGATTGTACACATTGATATTACCATGGTGTATGATATGCTAGTCAAATTTTGTCAATTATCATAATCAGATTAGAGAGTCCAGTGATTCATTTTGGTGTGCGTCCTGCGTAAATTACGCACAAATTTTGCTAAGGATGCATTATTTCAATAAATGTGCATCCCACTGGACGCAATAAATTTATAGAAGGACATGTACTATTTTAAATTATTCAGTATAATCTGATTCAAAACTTGACCGATTGCATCATATCCACATGCTAAATGATACGCATGAACGATTTTAACAGGTATAAGGTTGCCAACAACAGGTCAGATTTCACAACTGCAGTTAAAAGCAATTATCAGAAAATATTTGAAAGTTAGATGGCATAGTCCGATTATCACTGATTAAGTCTATACCGTGGAACGTTTCTGAAGCGAATACTATACCTTTGTATTTAAGCTGTAACCTGTATCATTGTTTTTTTTCTTTTCGTTTTTTCATTACATGATAAGAAGTATAAAATTTAATCATTTTTATTTCTGACTATTTGTCATTTCTTCTTAAACTTTTTTTTACTTCATTCTGCTTCTGTGCATTTTATAACTGATACAATGTGTGAGATCGTATGTACGATCTAAAAATAGAACCAACGTGCACAGTGGACAATATATTATTTTTACGACACAAAATCATGTACTCTTACTTGGACAATTAATAGTAAAAGTATAAATCACTCACAGCTACAATAAAACATTTGCACTTTCGTGCAATACCCAATAAACAATTTCTAATACAAGGCAAGTAACAAGTTGATGAAACAAGAATACTAAGTCTCGTTTAAAGTCATCATTTTGCAAGTTCTATGGTAGATACAATGACCTTGTCTGCAAATAAAAGGTCGAATGCCAACTAAGATTTTTCATACTAATTGTTAGGTCATAATTTTCACACTGAATTGTCTATGGTTATTTAGGTTTTCCCGATCACGACCAGGAACACACAGCAGAAATGACCAGTCCACAGGGGATGCTTACTCTTCCATGGCACCTGAACCCACCTCCGATGTTTTTAGAGGTCTGTGTTAACTCTAATCCCAATATGTATTGTTTCAATGGACTTCTGAGCTTGATTTCTTCATATATTTCTCAACTGGTTGTGTAGAGTTTCACAAATGCCCATCTGCGGCTAAAATTGTTCATTGCAGGGTTCTCCACATTTGAAAATTTGACCATGGAGGAAGCTGCGCGAAGGTGAAATGTGACCGAAAACACGAATGCGTGTTAGACTTCCTAACCTTCATTAATCAATGATTGATTTCACAAAACTAAACCACTGCAACACAAAAAGTTGAAATAACCAATATATTTTTTAAAGCTAAAAAATATAAATAAAAATAAAAAAGATAATGTATCTTACTTTACAAATGTTTACCAAAATTGGCCAAAAACTATAGGAACATTTTGAAGGAATTTCAAAAAAATATTTTGATAGAGTAACCATGGCAACATTATTCCAAAAGAAACATTTTATTTAAATGTGACTAAAACTGATAAATGGGTAGTATTTTGAAAAAAAAATTAACAGATACACAAACGAACAGACGAACGAACACCGAAATCCTACCAACAGATGTCCTAAGTTTTTTTTTAACTACATGGTCTATGAAAACTTAACTGATGGCATGCATGGTAAAAGTAACTTAATATAACCAGGAACATATATTTGACATAACAGTAATTTTGCTTCCTCTATTCTGTTTTTTTTTTTTTTAAACGTTCTTTTTTTTACATATTGCATTTTCGCCGAGTTACCTTCATTGTTCACTTCCCCACGTGCCCAAGTGCTAAAAATAGCACCACGCGACGTTTCATAAAAACGGGAGGTAACTCTAAAACTAAGATGACGAATGGCACTTATGTACATTTTATCAGAAAGATATTAAAATTTAATACTTAAAAACCAAGCATGAGGAATTGATTAAATACAAAGAATAGGAAATTTTGAAAGGGTTATTTTTTTGGGGGGCACAGAAACTTGAATGGGATGCTTGTCGATTATCATGTTGTTACTGCTAGTTATGTCATCTTTTGTAAATTTGTAATCGTACAGTGAACACGTTTGAATTCCCGAAATTACATGTGTACAGGAAAATTAACTCTCAAGAAAATTGAATCATCAACTGATTGACTCTCCATTGTCACGCTTCACAGCACCTTCGCTGATCAACAACCGTGTTTGTTTAGCACAGTCCGCTTTCTCTCGAGGTATGCGAGGTGCATGGCAGTCGTAGTATAAACACAATTAACTACTCAAGTCGTTGGAAAGTAGGTGTCAAAACTGAAATGCAATAAAAAATTAATCATGGCGGCCGCCGATTTTAACCATGGCGCAGCTCGTTTAACCATGGCACACATAAATTTAACCATGGCGGGCCGCCATGGTAAAACCCCTTGTGGAGAACCCTGCATTGTATTTTTTATGAATTAAGAACAATGCTACAGCCTAATAAAACATCAAAACACTAATTGATATGTTTATTCTTAGACTGTAAATCTGTCATCTTTAGTGAGACATGTACAGGTATGTTACAATGGTGGATCTAGAGTAGTTCATTTTTCTACAGATTTTCTGTAGGATTCATGCACATGCAGTTGCTATACATTTCCAGTGACTTTGACATGCATTACCTATATAATTCACGTCCATTTTTTGACTAAATATTTTTCACTGAAAAATATACAATTAAGCATTAAGGTTTTTATATTTTTTATGATATATTTTATTTTTTATGTCCCGGCGACAGTGTTGAAATCAATAAATATATTTTTCAATCTGTACAATTTCTTGCAGATTCAATTAATTATTACAGCCTTACACTAAAACTCTAGTTAGTTATATATTTATCATGTAATGAATGTATGTTTAAAACAAACATGTTTGTATATCAATATTTTTTTTCTATATACATGATATATATATATATATATAGACCTTGACCATGGCTGTAGGAACCGGGGGGGGGGGCACGGGGGGCGGGGCACGGGGGGCTGTGCCCCCCCCCCAATAATTTTGCCGATATACAGATTACAATAGAAAACATAGCTACTATATGCTTGTGCCCCCTCCATAAAAACGTCTGATGACCTTTTTTTTTTTGCTTGTCAAGAAATTTTTGGCAGTTGATAGTGCCCCCTCAACTGAAAATGTATGGCTGTGCCCCCCCCAAACTGAAATTCATTATTGCTTCCTACGGGCCTGTTGACAGTTGTAGCAATTTATGGTGAGAACCTCGTAAGTTGTTAGAACTTGTGTTCAAACCGTTTGTATATTATTTATACAATAAAATATGTTCAAACTAGTGTTGGTATGGAGTTGGAGTCCCATGCTGTAGATCTAATTAGTACGACCGTCAAAAAATGGTAACGGTTCTGCAAGACTTGCGATCGAACCAATATAGAGACTGACGGTTTACCTCTTAAGGATTTCATGGGTAATCAAATAAATTTTTAAAAAAACATCATACGAATAATAAAATATACAAATATATTAACATTCGGTGCGAAAGACAATAATGAAACATCTCTAAGCATAATTTAAAAAAAAATCCTATACTTCTGTTGATCATTTTTATGGTAATTCTGTTCTATGATTGACTTAAAAATTAGCTTGTGTGCATAAATCTTTGTTTTCTACAACATAAAACAGATAAACTTACACCCAAATCTTTCCCATGGTGGCCCGTCGCAGAGTAAAGCAGTAAAACTCCAAAATGACAACGCGGAGTGCTCTAATAGCCGCAATAAGATGACAGCCTGTTTCGCGCCATGTTTCGCCCTCAGATAGTTCGCGCCTACGCTGTCTCGCTCCATGATGGTTCGTGCCAAATGTTTCGCTCCGATTACAGAAATGTCGTATTTACGTTGAATTCGTTAAACTAAAAATGTAAACAAATTAATTTATATATCTTTTTGATCATTACTATTTTTGATTTATTCAATTGTGTCGTATACACAATTAATACAATGATAATTTTTTTTCCGTCTAGTGTATTTAATTTTGTAAATTAAATACTGAAAAAAAAAAAAATGATCCAGGGAGCTCCTGGCACCCCAGATGAGGAAAATACAGAGGGCTTCTGCGAAAGTTTTGCCTCAATATTTTTTTTGTATGTTATTGAGAATGAATATATTCTTTAAACAAAAAAGTTATGACCAAGGTAAAAGTAATATTAAAATTTTGAAAAGTAGGTCAAACTTCAAGGTCATGAGGTAAAAAAAAATCATCGTATTTTTGGAAAAGTATTGTCACAGGTAAGGTATCCTCAATTCTCATTATATCGCAGGTTCCATTGTATCGCAGTATATTTCAAAAATTATGATATATAGCTCATATCCTTTTTGTTGATGGACTATCTGTCTGTCGTCTGAATGTTGACTTTTGTGATGATTAAAAAGTATGGAACATCCGTTGGAAAAATTTTTATTCAAATGAAACGTAATTTTACAGATTTCCATTCCCGTTTTTATTTTATTTAGACCTGAATTTATAACCCAGTAAAATGCATAATAAAGTTCCTATTTTGAAAGTCTTAAAGACGTACAACACACTGGGGGAGATAACTCTTGCGATTTCAACAAAACGTTTTACATAACGTTAAATTTGACGTTAATAACAAAGCGTCAAAATGACGAGCGATACGATCCCGATGTAAATAATTTAAAAAAAGAAATTATATAGAGGTTTTTATTGTGGTTTCTTTAGGAATACCAAATACTATCCTTGAACATTTGCACAATTGCAATAAATCCCCCCCCCCCTCCATAAAAAAGACAGGTTCCTTAAATTTCTTTAATTTAAACTTAGTTAATTAATTCTTTAATATTGTATTTATGATATACACAAAGGCAATGTTTTAATCTAAAAATGTTATTGCTACTCTACATTGCTTTTTCCCGTTACAATCGGCCGCATAACATTGAGAATAAATATTACCGGTATGTCTAAATATTATCATATTACGAAAATAAACATTTTCTTGCTTTTCTTTTCTTTGAAAAAAAAAGATAAAAAGAGTAACCGTTTTTAGAAGATCACTGATCAAAGAGAAACAACTCTAAAAATGTAGAGGTGTATGTCTTTCCTCCCCTTAGCTGAGTTATTCATCCTGTTTTCCGAAGAATTGTGGGTTTTTTCCCCCTCACAAATACACAAATACATTTATAGTGTGTTGCAAGGAACACAAGAACTGATAGCCAAAGTTTATACAAATTAAAGTAAATATCAACAGTGAAAATTTATTTACTGAAATTAATACAACGGTTGCACCCCATTGAGAAAATCTTTTACTGTAAACAGTTTCAGTTCGCATTTCCTCGAATAAAAACAAAACGATTGATACCAATGTAGATGATACCATTGTAGATGATTCAGGCACATGAATAATTTTAATATTGATAAATAATTTACAATTTGGTACAATTGAAGTTAATATGGACGAATACATCATTTCCATTTATTGAAACAACAGAAGGATACAATATCGGGGGAGGGGGGGGCTCTCGTTCGAAAACAGAAATAATTTAAAACCTATATGTACATATATTCCATTTTCATCACAAGAGAGTTGTACATACACCACTGTTGGTTCACTTAAAAAATAATATTCAAAGCAAGTACAAGTCATATAAAGGTTTGAAACTACACCTGTGTGCATGAACTCCAAACCGGACACGTGGTTATAAAATCCTTAGAAAAATAGTTTTACTAAATATAAATATAAAACTAGATGCTGTCATGAGACAGTAATACCCGCACTAAGGTGTTTGCCTCTAAATGCACACTCCTTCATATTGGGCTTACCAAGGAAAAAGTCCAAATAATTCTATAATTTACACAGTACATGTATTCGTCAAATCGAGCATAAAATGCTCAGGTGACCATGTGACCCATGAACCTCTTATACGCATTTCATATACTTAATTCATTACCAGTCTGAAATATCAGAATTTAATTAATGTTGTAAATTAGGTTTTAATAAAAAGGGGGGGGATATAAATTTTTGGCCCATAATTGGAACTTTTTAAATTAAATTTATCTTCTCAACAACAAATAATATTATTTTAGTACAAAGCGTTTTTGATGAATTTATCAAAATGTGCAAACTTTTTTTAGTATTTGATTAGGCAAAAACCTCCTTGAAAAGCCATACCCAATCAATTTATATGTGTCCCCCCCCCCCCCCAATACACACACACACAATTTGCCTGTTTTTGGAAATAGGCCTAGATGGCAAAGTTATGTTAAAACATCGTTTGTTATGATAATTTAAAATTTGTTCTTGTACTGTACATGTATGTGAACACCTTTTTGAAAATTTCTACATCACATTGGGCTTGCGTCACCCTACCAGTACTAGTACTAGTTTTACCATTATCATTTTTAGATTGCACATGCCATGTGACATGGTGCAGTGTTACATGTATATCAGTGGAAATTAATTCATTTTGTGTTTTAATTGGATTATATTTCATGAAGTTGACAGGACCTATGACAGTCGGTAAGTACAAGTTTAAGTATAGATTGGGGTAAAATAAACCAAAATGCAAATGGTTAGGTTAAAGTTTAAAAAGGATCAAAGATCATCGGCAATCTCCTATGCAGAGTTGTCGTTCGTTTCTCTCTCAGACACTGAATGTATGAGCCGATCGTAGAGAGTGGATCATCGATGCCACAATAGACGAATTTCACATTCTGAAGAGTTATCTCCCGTTGTCGACATTACATTCAGTTACAGGCATAGATCCGGGAATTTTTTTCCGGGGGGGAGGGGGGTCCACACCTCGGTCCAAAAAAATTCCAGCCCAGAATTTCCTGAGGAGCAAAATAAAAAAAAAAACAAACAAACAAACAAAATAAAAACAATGATGGTGGGGTCCATGTTTTTAAAGGGGGAGGGCATCCAAAGTCATTTTTTATTTGCTTCTGTAAATCAGTATATAGTCCTATTTAAATAACTCTGCAAATTCCAGGGGGGGGGGGGAGGGGGTTCCAATCTCCCTAGCCGCTCCCTGTCCCTGAAATGACAAATGATCATGCGACTCCTAAATAGTAGAATAAAATTTTTCCATTTGACTAGACATAATTTTGTTTCTTGTGTTATTATGTTATGTACATCTAATGGTTTAAGGTTATGAACCCTTGAGGTCATCCCCACTCTCTTGTTCATAATATGACTACATCAAATTAAATAAAAGTGCATCAATGATAAGATTACTTGACATTTCATTCATGAATTTGGGTCAACCTAGAATAAGGAATGAAAATCATTCAAAGAGATGGACCATTAAACTATTTGTATGTATTCACATTTTTTTTATGTCAAACCAAAGTATTAGACTAGTTTGCATACATGAACAAACTGGGGTCTGGGAAGGGGAAGGGGCAAGGGGAAGGAGTTATCTCTTTACGTCTTAATTAATTGTTGAAAATTCCTAAAATGAATGTTAACCTTAAATCCGACTTGTACGTCTTCATTATTTTTAAGTGGTGGTGTCTCCGTATGAGTGAAAAATTCCCAAGAGGGACATTTAACAACAAACAAACATTAATGACTTAAAAAACACAATATACATGTACATATGTTTATTAGTCAATGGATATACTTCTGATCATATCTCTAGTTCTCCCTTGAATCAGAAATGATGATATAAATATTTTAAGAATGATTAAGAGTTGAAAAGGTTGTGCATTTTAAAATTCACTAAGCTCTGTGGTTGAATTAGCTATACCAGTTTAGCTTATTTTGCTACTCAAAGCACCTTGATTAACTATTTTTAATCATACTGTTTTCTGAAATGTGAAGTTTTTTCAACATGGATACAAGTCATACCTTTTCAGCTTCTGAAAACAATTAATGCATGAAAAAAAAACTGCTTTTCAAATACTGTAACTCTTTCCAAGTACTTGTGATCATCAGTTTTTAGCTCACTTGAGTTTTTCTGGTTTTCTGATCACATTTTGTTTGTCATTCATCTGTCCGCCTGTAAACTTTTCACATTTTTGTCTTCTTCACTAGAACCGCCGGGCCAATTTCAACCAACCCAGCCACAAAGCATCTTTGGGTAAAGGGGATTCAAGTTTGTTCAAGTGAAGGGTCACACCCTCTTTCAAGGGGGGATAATCAAGAATTAGTGAAAATTTGGTGGTATCATTTTAAAAAAGTCTTATCAAGAACCACTGACTGGGCCCAAAAAATTGAAATTTTCTTTACATAGACAGTGTAGCTTCAAATTTGTTAAAATTATGACCCACTGGGGTAGGATGGGGCCACATATGGGGATCCAATGATTTACATAGAAAAATGCAGGGGATTTTTTCCATCATAAATCTTCTTCTCATGAATAGCAAGGGCATTATTGTCGTCTGTTTTCACAAAAGGGACCTAGGGGACATTAAATCTCATTTGTCTGTCAGTCTGTCCGTTTGTCAGTCTGTCCGTCTGTCACAATAAATTTAACCTTGGTCATAACTTCTGAATAATAAGAGATAGGGATTTCATATTTCACATGTACATTACCTACAAGAACTTTCTAAACATACCATGATTTTTGAACCCATGACCTTGACCTTGAAGTTTGACCTACTTTTCAAAAAATTTAACATTATTTCAAATGATCATTTTGAAAGAGAAAAGATAGGGCGTTCATATTATACATGTATATTACCTGTGACAAGACCTTTCTAAATATATCATGACTTTTGACTCTGTGACATTGACCTTGAAGTTTAACCTACTTTTCAAATATGTTATATTTCCTTAT